TATTATCTGGGTTTCTTTTGATAATTTCCAAATTGTTGTGATGTTTTTATCTTTGATGAAAATTGCTGCTGAGGTGGAACTGACTTCTTCTATTTTGGAGCCATCAGTATTTATCTTTTATGATTTTTTGTATATTGTATTCCATCGTATTGAACTAGTTTCTAATTATGTCTTCAGGTGTATTTTTTTGTGAGACTTTGCATAAAGTTGGTGGTATTTGAGATATGCTTGGGGTAATGTTTGTTTTTATTGTGATTTTAAGTTCTATGCATGTCTCCATTACTCTATGAACTAAATTTTCTTTGTTAGTATTCTGGTTGTATTCCTTAATTGATTCTGTTATCAGTTTTTTTATTGGCATAGTTTCTTGTTTTTGTAATGTTTTTGCCAACTGGATACATTCTTGTTTTATTTCTTGTCTTAAGGACATTGTATTCATTAAGGCTTGTAAAGCTATTATTGGAGTTGACTTAAAACAACCTGTGGCTATTCTTGTTGCTTCATTTTGTATTATTTTTAACTTTTTAAAACTGTGTTTTTTACTATTCCATATATTGTGGAGTTTTTGGTTTTATGTAAATGTTATAAAATTCTATCATTGTTTCTCTTTTAGTTCCCCATGATAATGTAGACAGTTTCTTCATTTATCAATTTTTGAGTGGAAGTTTTAATTTTATCTATGTGGTTTCCATTTTAGTTTTGGAGCATCAAATTCTAGTCCTAATATTTTTTGGTTATTTGTGAATATTAATTTTTCGTTATCTATACTTATTTCTGGTATGTTTTGAATTCTTTTATGTATTTAATTGCACTTTTTAAATCATCAGTAGCTTTTGTAATATCTCTGTTTTGAGTCTCAGGTCTGACATTAGTATGTTGAATAATGTTGGACGTAGGGGTGACCCCTGAAGTACTCCCTTTGATATTTTTTCTTTTTGAGGTCTTTTTTCTCCTATAGTTATTTGTGATAAGTTCTATTTTCCAGGAAATTCTTTAAGCATCTTAGTGGTTTGCCTTTAAATCCTAGTTTGGCTGCCTTTATTATGATTGCGTCATGGTTGGCAGAGTCAAAAGCTTTTTCTAGGTCTAAACATGCTATCAATGCGTATTTCTTTTCGTGTAAGGATTTGTTCATTTTTTATTCAATCCTTTGAAGTGCATCAGTAGTTGATCTGTTGGGTCTGAAACCTGCTTGATCTTCATCTATTTTTTTTTTTATGTATTTCTAACCACCAATTTGTTTTCATATATTTTTCCTAGGCAAGAAATTCTATTGACAAATCTTGTAAGAAGTTGTCTGCCGGGTTTTTCCCTTTATTTATCACACATTTTTCAGTTCATTTGGATATTCAACTATTAACCATAGTTCATTGATTTCTTTTAGAATTGCTCTTAGTATGTTATCTAGTGCCTTTTTATAGAATTCGTATGTGATTTCATCTGGCCCATATGCCTTCTCATTCTTGGTTTTGTTAATTGTTCTTTTTAGTTCTTCTATTTTTCTGTTTTTTAGATTTGTTGTATCAGGGAGGTTTAAAAGTTTCTCTATCTCTGCTGTGGTATCTACTATTTTTTGTTCTTTTCCAATGATCTTTTTGTATTTTTCTTTGAATAATTCTAGTTTGTTAGAAATACTTGTTATTGGAAAGTTGTTACTTATTATGGGGTAGTTTTGGTTTGATATTTTGCCTGTCTGTTTCTTTATGAAGTTCCAAACTTTTTTGGTTGGAATCCTAATTCACTGCAAAAAAAATTCTTGGGCCTTTCTCTTTTTGATTTCTATTATTTGCCTACTTTTTGCCATGAGTTTTTTACATATTCAACTTCATTTTCTTTGTTAGTTGTTTTTTCTCCATTTATTAAAGGCTTTATTTCTTTTCTTTATTACTTTGTGGCAAGTTTCATTCCACCAGGGTTTATTTGGTATATTTTTTATGTTGTTGTCAAATTTAAAACACTTTTCCCCTGTTTCTTTTAGCATGTTGGCTAGTATCTGAAGGGTTTCTGTATCTTCTATCTTCAGTTTATTCAGTTCTTTTTGATATTTATTCCACCCCTCTTTTGTGAAGTGCCATTTTTTTCTTTGTTATAAGGTAAATTTTGAGTAATGTTAGTTACTATTACTGGTAGATGATAACTATTCAGATTTGGGCCTGAAGCTATTTCAAAGTGACTTAAATTTGGAGAACCTATTATTAGGTCTATTGTGGATGTTTTGCCTTTTTTTGGGTCTATCCTTGTTATTTAATCTGGAGGTGTTAATAGAATTTCTGCATTATACATAAGAAAGTCAAAAACATTTTTACCCATTTGGATTAAGGTTTGTTTCTGAAAATGGGTGGTGAGCATTTAAATCTCTCATCATGAGCCTTGGTTCTTCTAATTGGTTTGTGTAATGTTCAATTTCTTCTTTTGAAATGTTATTGCATGGGTTGTAAATTAATAATACGTTTATCCATGTGTTACTAATTGGTATTGTAATAGCTTGTACTTCAAATTTATGTTCTTGGTTATTATTTAATTTTAGGTTTTTGTATTGAAAAGAGTTTTATGCAGAATGCTAAACCTCCACCTGTTTTTTTTCTTTCTTTCTTTTTCTTATTATTTCGTAATTAGGGATCTTAAGTTGATCTTTCTCTTTTAACCCAATGGTGATGGGTGAAGAAAAAAAGAAAAAAAAAAAAATCTACGCTCTGGCAAACCATGGCAGCACGCCGGCTTTGAGCACGTGAGTTCGGTTCATCAGGCAGAATCATAAGCTCACCATGCTTTGGCATGCCGCTGCCGCGTAAAGCCCCTCGCCACTTTTCAAGTGGTTTGTTTTTACACCTAGTGATGTCACCCTTTGTGAAGGGATTAACCATGTTTCACATAAAGCTATTACGTCTGGGTTCTCTTTATATATCAAATAGTTTATTTCAGTTTTTGTTTATTATAGATCTTGTGTTCCATAATATTATTTTATGCATTAAGATATTTATCTCTTTTGTCATTTTATGAAATTTACAGTTTATATCTATTAGAGTATGGCTTTCTTTGCAATAAAAACAATACGGGTCATTTTTACAATCTTTGAACATATGGTCAAATTCATTACACTATTACACCTGTTTATGGATTTTGTGTATATCCACTTTTCTTTACTGTTTGGTTCTTTATCTTTCTTTTTTATTCTCATTATTTCTATGTTGGAAATTTGTCCTCCAATTGTTCTGATTTATTCTTTAAACATGTCTGTTTTCAGGTCTATTTCTATGGGGAATATGGTTCCGTAGGAACAGTGAGTTTTTACTAGAAGCTGGTTGTTTACAATATACTTCCCAATTGCCTGTTTTTTTTTTAATTTCATGCAGTGGTCATATTTTTGATAGGTTAAATACCTCAAACCTTAAGGCTTTGCCTGTTCCAAGAACTCTTAGGGTATTTTCTTTTAAATACTTGTGAAATTCAGACTTGTTTATTGCGTCCGTTAGTTTTATTGGGTTATTGAAGTTTGAGGTATATGATTCCCCATGTAACTGAATCAAAATTACATTTTGTTGGGTTTCTACTTGCATTTCCGAATTAATGTTTGTAGCTGTTGTTGTTCAGTTCAGATGAAATTGTCAGCGTCCTGATTTGGCGGGAAGTTTGATTGTTGGTCATCTCATTTCGCGGTAGTTTTGAAAGTGGGTCTTCATTTTCCGAGTTCTTTGTACTTTTACTTTTGTTTGGGGTTTCAGTTTCTGCTTCTTTATAGTTTCCAGAATCTTCCTCTGGGTCAGTGTGAATGTTTTCCATTTTAAACTGATTACTTGATATAGTATTAAAAGAGAGACACTTCACTCTTCGGTGTCTAAAGCTTGAGTGTGACAATCGGTAATTGGAAATCCCTCTCCTTTCCCTGAGGACTTTCTTTTTTTTTTATAGTTCCTGTACATTTACAGATTCATTGCCACATTGAAGCAGAGGTACACACAAAGCAATGGCCGTCGACCTTTTGGTACCTCATGTCTTATTGCTGGATTTGATATGGACGGAACACCCCATTTATATCTGACAGATCCCTCTGGTACATACACAGAGTGGCAGGTTAGTATTAATAATGATTATTATTTATTTATTTCATTATTATGTGTATTTATCAGTATTCTATTAATGTGCTATACGATCACCAAAAACTCAGAATCCACTTATTCAGCCTTGATTTATCTTGTACAAGACTTAATCACATCACTTGTTTTCCAGGCCAATGCCACAGGTCGAAGTGCAAAGACTGTGCGAGAATTCTTGGAGAAGCATTACACTGAAGAGGTAGTCTCAACAGAGGCAGGAGCCATCAAGCTAGTAGTTAAGGCATTGCTAGAAGTGGTCCAATCTGGGGCTAAAAATGTAGAAGTTGCAATCATGAAGCCCAACGAGCCAATGAGGGTAATATATTTGTCTTTTCGTGGATGTTGGCTTGAATGATTTTGGGTAAAAATAAGGTAATAGTAAAAGGAGTTCCAATCTACATATGGAAATTACCTCCTCCTTTGTTATTTTTCAGATGCTAGATATTGGCAGCCTTGAAAAGATTGTAGCAGAGATTGAGAAGGAGAAAGAAGAGGAAGCAGAGAAGAAGAAACAAAAGAAATAGCTGTATTACATTAAAAGTAATTGCTAGTAATGTTTTAAGTTCAAGTATATTTGCAGCAGAATCGTGCTTACCAAGAGGTATTTTGATTTATAACATCACTCAGTTTGCTTACCCCAGCAGAATGTTATTTATACAAAACTAAGCTCTTTTTTTCAATAAAGGAGGATAAAATACCTATCTCATTAACCCTTTAAAAGTGTTTTCCTTTGACTTCTGTTGTGTTACTTTTAAAGTTTGGGAAAGTATTTTAACCAAATGGTTAAAGGGATTGCTTAAATGCTTTACTGTGGACAAAATATTTTAAGTCGAGCATTTCAGATCTTCAGCCAATTTTTACATTACAAACTCGGATGTAATGTTTGCTTTCATCAGTTAGTCTGAGTTTTTTCTTTTTCTTTTTCTTTTTTTCATGTTTATTTTACACAACTCAGAGATGACAAAATGAACATTTAGAATTAAATAAAAATTATTGAAAATTTCTCTGAGGAATCCTAAATATTTACTTGTCCCTCATGTGAGACTCATTACCTGTATAACAGAATACATCATATAGGGGCAATGGCAATAAAATTCTTGTTTTCTGTTCAAATCATATTTTATTTAAAATTACATTTATATTCGAGCTATTCACCAAGTGAATCCAAATATATCATGATATCAAACTAAAAGTAAAACAAGAACATTTAAAATGCAGTGTTGTAATTATGATATGACTAGCCTCATGCCACTCCATGTGATTTTCAGATTTAATTATAGTTTTAGAATATTGAAGATATTCAGTAGTTGTTTAGGTTTATTTTTTGTCAGTAATTCTAGTCAAACCTAAACATCTGCTGAATATCTTCAATATTCTAAAACTATAATTAAATCTGAAAATCACATGGAGTGGCATAATGTTAAAATAATAACTGAAAGTGAATAAATAGTGTGTATATTCTCATTCTCTCTCTTATAATTCATATATATATATTGATGATGCCAGGATGGCATTCTATACATACCATGGCCACTGTAAATTTGATTTATTAAGTTTGCTTGTACATAGCTGGATCCACATGAGCTTAGTCACCAAAGATCCCAATGTTATTAATTATGAGTAATGGTATCAACAGCATTAGGAAAAATAAAACTCCCCAAATTCAAGGAAAGGGGAACTTACTCCTTGGTGACTAAAAGTTTATAGAACCATCTATGTGTAAACCAAACTCAAAAAACTACAACAGACTGCTATTATCCAATGCCTATGGGTAGATGCTATGCTTATTACGAGTATAGTTCTCAGTACCTATGGAATGTTACTGTGCTTTACTTATGCCATGAATCATTATATTATTTGTATTAATTCTCTGAGCTTTCTTGAATTATTTTATTTGTAATGAGATTTATGTTCAACTGACATTAGTCTTATAATTACAAAAATAACTGTATAAATATATACATTAACTATATCTCCCAGACAAGTGCCAACATCTAACAATAACTATTTAGTATTCTGCTACTCAAAAACAAGAAAATCAACAGCCATATGTCAACTTCTTAATAGAAAAATCAAAAGATTTTAGGAACATTAACTTAGCCTATATGTGCAGCAAGAAGATGCTGAGGCACATATAATGACAGTGTTTTCTTGGACACAGCCATTTTCTTGGCGACTTCTTGCAAAACTGCTAACCCAGTCAGTATTTCATGAGGTAAGTCTGCAGCCTTGTTAGTACTGTTGAAAAAGTAAAAAAAATGTTAATATTGTCAGTCCCAGTGTTTCTCTTTTTTCATATATCCAAGTCTCCAGTCAATAATAATTCCTAGTATTTATGCACATTCATGTGTAGGCTATATTATTCTGTACCTGGGCCACTGTCTGCCTGACATGGTTAGACCACCAGGCATCAAGTGAAAATTTTGGTGACATGACAATGGGTAATGGTTATTAGTTAAAACAAATAAATGTGTTTGGCTTCAAAGGTCATATAGCACAATGATAAAGTAAAAATGTAAATGTAAAATTGAGTTGATGATTAGGACAAAATGTGTTAGATGTAAAAGATAGAGCACAACAGGATAGTATGGCAAAGGATAAAGAGGGATAGCAAATGGGGTAGAAAGGGATCAGTAAATGGTGGAAGTGGGTTAAGGGCAAAGTGTGATTTGATCAAATAGAGAATAAGGTAGAAATGAGTATCACACAAATCAGAGAAGAACCCAGGAAATGAGACCAGGAAACAGGAAGGTGGTGAAGTATCTGGAAGAATGTCAAGAGGGAAAGATCCAGGGAAGGACACTTGTGATAGAAGTATGTCATGTGAGCATCCAGGAGGGATAAAAGGGGAAGGACGGGGAAATGTGCAGATGGAGAAGGGGAGGATGGGGTGTATAGGAGGAAGAGGGATTGGAGGGTGGATGAGAGAGAAGTATTCTCTTGGGCCATGTTTAGGAAGTTTTGGGTGTCCTCAAGAGTTTCTGGGGAATTAGGGTATAGAGATCTAAGAAACAGTATTTTTTTACGAGGAGGAGAAAAGGTGACCGATGTCTGAGGAGATAGGTATAGCTATATTATTGCCTAATAATTAAATTTGACTAGGAGAGAGAGGATGATAAGGGGTGGGGGAAGAGATACTGGAGAGATGCTGAGACATCTTAGGAAGAAAGGAGTAGTATTGGAATAGCAAGAGAAGAACCCCATCGGTGTGCTTCCCCATCTTGAACTTGTAGACATGACAGCACCTATAACATAAATTTATGGGAACTACCACAAGTAACACACTTGCATGATTGTGCAGAGCAATTTGAACAGTAATGACCAGGTTGGGTAGGCTGTGGAACAACAGTGCTTGGCAGGATATCCAAAATTCCAACATTTATTACTGATGAGGAAGAGGTTGATATGATCACCAAAATAAACTTCATTATGGTCATGTCTATGGAAGGTAATCTTGGCAATATTGGTGTTGTAAGATGTATGGCAGCCTCAGGGGGTGGTAGTGTGCTGATAAAGCATCATAATCAATGAGGCAGGCAAGCAAGTTGTTTTTTGCAGTCTGACCAATTCTTGTTGCATGTGAAAATGGAAACTAATCTAGTACAAGTATTATGTGAGGAGTGAGCTGGGCAGGAATAGTTTTGCCGATGCAGTCAATCAGGGTACATTTGGGACTCCAATGTAACTATTACAAAGTGTAAACATTGGAATGATGGCTGTAAAAGGAAACTGTAGCTATTTGTTTTTGGAGACATTATGATTCCCCTACTCTGACAAAGAAATGATCACATTTGGCTAAAAAAAAGTATGGAAAAGGTTTGCAGAGGTGGAAATATTAGAAGGGCAAAGATGGGATAAAGAGATAGTGGTGTAGAATGAGGTAGTACTGCAGGGAAGAGAACAATATGGAGGAGGGTGTAGAAAATGAAGAAAACTGTCAGAGGAGGAGATGGAGTTAACAATGTTGGGAGAGAGGAAGTGATGTATTCTAAAGGTTGAGTAATGACTTGGAATGGATCAAGTTGACAACAAGCATGATGGAGGGAATAGTAGTAGCATTGGTTGGATCAAAAGAGAGGCAGGAGTCAGGAAACCAGTGAAGTTAATTTTGGATAGGCTAGTTGATGAAGGGGCAAGCCTCAATGTTTCTATGGTGATGGCCATGGTGAGCCTGAAATATGTGGGGGGAGAGAAAAGATCTACCCCTCAGGATCCTCAAGGGAGGTAGACCATGGCTAGATGATTAACCAAGGGAATATTGTGCCCATGGCTCTTGGAGCCCATTAAAAACTGACAAAGCCAGCCTTTCATCCTTTCAAGTTTGGTTCTTACACCTTAAGAAGTGGACAGAACGGAAAGGAAAAGGAAAGAGGGAGAAAAGATCATGCAAAAATGGTTGAGCCTAGGGCTGATGCCCAAGGTAGGGGCAATCCCCATCATAACAATGGGCATGGGATTGGGTGTGTGGGACATGACAAAATGTTACCCAGTGTGAAAGGGTTAAAGGTGATGTTCAGTCCCAGTGATATTTTTCCAAAATCTATTTAGTATCATTTAATAATGCTCATCAACAAAGGTACTTAATCTGATAATTATAATGCATTCAGTAGAGATATATAGGACATGTCTGTTTCATTAGCACCATAAATAAACATGTTATCATACAAATATCATATATTAACACTAATAACTTTAATTCTGCAGTAACTCTGTAATGCAAATATTCCTCTATACAATTTTGAATGTACCTATGGGAAAAATATGAAAGATAAAGAGAGGTTATAGCTATAAAATGAGCAAGAAAAAGTACATGTTGGCTATCATAATTACCATGGTCTTAAAAAACAAAACAAAAAAACAAATGACAAATTCTTTAGGTGTCATTCACTTTCCACCCTCTGATCAAAATCACTGATCAACTGAAAATGCCAATATTAATTTAATTAACAGTGCTTGAGAAGCATACTTATTATGAATTGAGGAAAATGTATACTTGACAACCATCACAAATTCTTACTCAAATTACGAGACATTTTCTTGTGAATTATCAAATGTATTATAGCTCTGCCAGCAAGCTCTTTACTCCATGTACTGAAAGTAGAAAATCGAAGTGTATAATTTATATTATGAATTGAAAAACATATACCTGAGAAGAAAATACTATAACTCAAATTGTGAATCAAATATTAACCCTAACCTAAGCATTAAAGCTTTCCTTTGAAGTGCATCAAGCCATTGAACTAAATGAGAATCCCAGAAGAGCAAGGGAGGCCAATGCTACTATTCTGTCTGTTGCATAAACAACTAATCATTTTCTATGTTTTTTTTTAACTTTATAGAATAATGAATGTGAGAGAGAATTAATAAAAGAAAGGGAGGAAAAAAGCAAGAATGAGAGAAATCAAAGGGCTGAATGAATAATAGAGAGGGAGAGGAAGAGAGAATAAGTGAATGAAAGAGAAAGAATGAGATGTAGAGGGAGAGAGGTCATATAGGCTTCTTGAACTTTTCCTGAAACTCAAATTTATTGCATGTCAGTGACATTTTAGGGGCATGTCTTGTCAAAATGACACCCCCATATAATTATGGTATGAGGCAAAGCCAAGATATTCCTGTGCAAATACCTCTACAAGCAATCCAAGCTTCACAAACCTTGTTGCAGTATGTGTTGTGAAGGATGTGATGTACTGGGACAGAAGCTCAATGAAACGGAGCGTATGATCCTGGTGAAACTGTCGCAACAGGGATGCAAGTCCTGTTACCAGCAATTCTCCATCAATACCCTCAGTGCCTCTGATGCCAGTCAGGGTACCTGGTTCAATATATAACATATATTACTTTCATTTAACCATGAGTAAGAGGCTTTATAGTGTCTCTTTTCTCTAGAACTTAACATCAATGAATTTGAAAGCCTTTACTTTCCCTTTCTCAGAATATATTAAAGACACCAGCAAAAAGTAGTAATCCCTTTTCTGTCTGACATACCAAGCATTTTTGCATAATGTATCTTTGGAATCTGGTTGATCACAGTCAACAGTAGCACCATGCTCAGAGGATTCAGAGCCTGTGTGGTGATGTAGATCCTATTGAGAGGCTGAGTCATCCCACACCATTCCAAGAAGATACTCAATTCACTGGTTAGAGCACCGTCCTCATCAGGGTATGGCCTTGTAGGATCAGCATAATGCTTCTTTACATCTGACATAAGTGATCTGAAGATGAAAACACAAAGGCAGCTTTAGTAAATTGAATAATTTACAGAGTATTATTAGTACGAGGCACTTCTCTACAATGATGCTGTAAGTCATCAGTGACCTTAAAATTACAATAATTTCAAGCAATAAACACAAACTTAAAGAGCTTAAAGAACCTTACTCATTCATGGTTGAAAGTGCAGCTGCAAGATATTTGGCATCAAACTTGCATGAGGAATTGAGACGATTTGCAGCATGGAGCCTGAGGACCTGCATCTGCCCTATTCGCATGATACGATCAACAAGGGATGTTGACAATTTATTAGTGCGTTGAGCCCACCCAACATACTGCCTCTGAGGTTGTGCTGTTGAAGGATAGTAGATAAGATAAGCAAAATACTATGAGAAAAAATGTAGTTACACCCCAAAAATAAAAAATAAACAGGGATCAAGACAAACATATATTTATAAAGAAGTGTGTGTGTGTGTGTGTGTGTGTGTGTGTGTGTGTGTGTGTGTGTGTGTGTGTGTGTGTGTGTGTGTGTGTGTGTGTGTGTGTGTGTGTGTCTCTTTCTATCTTATATAAATAAAAACTTGAAGGATAAAAAATGCCTATACTTTTGTCATTTTTACCTCCATCCTGTTTATTTCTTGTATAGTCCTCCTTCCATTCATTTCTTCAACCCCTTTCCTACATAATTAATTTCTTCTAAAACATTCTATATCAATACAGCTTCTCTCATAATCTATCTGGAAACAATAACACAATTTCTTTCCTAAATCAAGTAAAAACCACTTACCAACTACATGAGTGTTTGGAGTCAACTGGGGTGCTAGTGTTCTTAGTATCTCCTTTATGGTGGGGTCCTTCTGGCAGGCAACCTCAATCTCCCGAACCAAATTCTGAAATGAAAGTTACGTGTCATAGTTGTCAAGATGAAAACCACAAGCACAAGATTCAATGTCACTTCCCTAGAATAAGTTTAAGATATCCTTCTGTTAAGAATATACGGTGATACTTATTTGGGAAACTTACCTTCCTTGCTTGCTTGTCAATCTAATAAGCAAGTTACAATAATTACTTATATTGTGAAATTGCACCTTCAATCATGTTTCACAGCTTCTATTTTAGTGTGAATGGGAATTAAACATCTGGAACTGTCTGATTTATTCCCTCTGGCCACAAGGCCATAACAGTGTTACTACCATTATGGCAAATGACATGAATGCAATGATAGAGCCCAGATATCTGCATTGATTAGAGTTGGTAACCTGAAGTTAATTTAAAGTCAGGGCTCTATCATTGCATATACAACATTTCCTGTAATGGTGGTAACTGAAATCTTCCATATATCCTGCCTCACTGGACCTTCATCTGTATATCTGGGTGGCTTTGTCTCCACTCCTCCCTCTCTGTCCCTTCTAAGCAAAGAGAAGTATCCCCTGCCCTCTTCCTCCCCTCATTTCATATGCACACTCGCTAAAAAAGTAGCTCTACTCGGGAGTAGCTAAAACCAAAACAATTGCTAGGAGTTAATTTAGAAAGGTTAGTACTTTTTGCTTTCAAAGCTCGGAACAGATGTGTTTTGGAGTTGCTATGGCTAGGGCCTTGTATCATTGTAATAATAGTAATGGAGACCTCATAGTCCATTTGTAGTGTCATTATTACACTTTGCTGTACCAAAATACCATGAAGATTAAGTATTTTGAAGCCAACCATGTTTCCGTGGATCCAGCAACACCAAGTCTGACAGCCCTGGCAAAAATACCAATATCAGATCAAGCTCTATCCACTTTTTCCAACTGCTTTCATAATTACATTATATTGTTAAGTCAGTGTACATATAAATACATAATTTAAACCACTGTCGCCAGGAAAATGTGTTCACTGTAGTACTGCTTTGTGAAATGTCTGCAGTGTTTAGTTGCATAGGAGTTAGTTGGTTGACTTTATAACCTCGCCAGAGTTTGAATTTCTTTGAGTTCAGAAAAACGTTTTTCTTACTAATGCTAATTTATTACAGACATTAAATTATTATCAAGTTACTGACCTTACTCACATCAATGAAAGATACCAGAAAATATTTTTGTAAATCAAGGAAATCTACAAGACTCATTGGTGACTAAGGACTCGTAGAACCATCTATGTGTAAAAACAATTAATAAATAAAACTCACAGTGGGCACTGCATGTACGTTTATGCCATACCCACTGGCATCAGGTTAATGCTTTGAAATTATAATGAAACAAAAGTTTAAAATTTTTCTATTTTCTTATTCATCCCCCTCACTATTTTTACTCATGTATAATGGGTATTCATATCTTCAGTAATCAGTAACTTTTTGACAAGCCAGTAAGAGGCATATATTTCATAGTTTGTTATTTCCAGCTCTTCAGTATGAAAGACCATGTCTATCCTTAGGCAAAGTTGAAAATTCAGGGTTAATTGCAGTTGAATAGGCTAGGTGAGCTGAAGAATTGGGATCCTTAATAGTCAAAATATCCAGTTTCAGATCATTTACATGCAAATTACAGTGAACAAATGATTTATCTTGATAAGCTTAACCCATTGCCGCTGGGGAAAATGAACAAAAAATGGGGAAAATTCTGTACTCATTTTTTATATTTTTGTGAAATATCTCTGTACATAGATGGCTCTGCTAGTCCTGATTTCACCTTTCCTTGAATTGGCGGGAAAAAACGTATTCTTACTAGTGCTATAAATATAGTTGGTGTTATTTTTAACAGCAAATTAGGATAACGTTAAATATTTTCGTAAATCGATGAAAAGGGTGAACGGGCGAGACAGGCAGTACTCATAATTTGCTCATTGGTGACTTAGTACAAGTGTAGCCATCTATGTGTAAAAACAATCCAACAAGTCGACTCACAGTGGGTATGGCATGTACATACATGCCATCCCCGGCGGCAATGGGTTAATATAGTTAAGAGCTAAGAAGCATATAATTAGCAAATAAACATATAAATACAACAAATCAAATCACCTGTAACTCAGTCACAATCAAGAAGGCCAGCAATTTGTCAACACCTGTAAGCCCAGCTGTGCTAATACTGGACTCTACTTTCCCCATGACAGAACTTGAAAGCACTTCTGTGTGAGTTTTACTGTCATACCATGTTCCCAACTGTGGCACGTACACAGTCGTCCTGCAGTAGAAAGATAATGAATCAGACAACTAATTGTGATTCTTACACACTTCATGACCTGAATGGGATGGGAGGGAGAGAGGGGGAGGGAGGGAGGGAGGGAGGAGAGAGGAGGAGAGGAGGAGGAGAGGAGGAGAGAGAGGAGGAGAGGAGAGAGAGAGAGAGAGAGAGAGAGAGAGAGAGAGAGAGAGAGAGAGAGAGAGAGAGAGAGAGAGAAAATATATACAGGAAAATAGATTCAACTTTCAAATTTTAAATAAACACACTAATTCATGTCTCAAACTTTTTAAATAATCTATTATCAATTACAGCTTCATCAACAACTATCACAAAATCTCTACATACAAACAAGGATATAAAACAAACACAATGTCAGGTATTCCACTATACAAATCAGAATCATCAACAAAAATTACTTGGGATCAGTGATGCGCAGAATCTCCCGCACGAGCCTCCCCACAAAGTTCACGGATTGGGCATCGACTGGTTGGAACTTTGGGATTGGGATTGCGATACTTTGGTATACACTCTCATGGTCAGATATTTTTTTCTTGAGCAATTGATTACATTCCTGCAATGGTATGAATATAAATAGTAGTGTTGCTAATTACATTCCTGTGATGGTATAAACATAAATAGTAGTGTATGGAGTGAATTTTAACTAATGAAAGCCATTTAATTATTACATCTCTTACTTCATATACAAAGTCTGTAGATATCATTACTGCAATTATCAAAGACATGAGATACAATAAACAAATATATTTTTTTACAACAAATAAACAAAAACTTAATAATGTCTCTTAATCTTTTTACCTGTTCAACATTGTAGTTGACAATGCGAGACATTTCTTCCTGCCAAATCTTCAGTCCATACATACTAATATAGTCTTGGATGTATTCAAATGAAGTACGAAAACCAGTCATCTGTTGTTCAACTGCTCGTAATCTTTTGTAAAGTTCACTTCCCTGGAAGGTAGAAAATAATTAGTGCTTTAAAAATACTGTATGCAATGTGATTCATACCTCAGTTTAAAAATTCCTACTACACATAACAATATGATCACAAATAAGGTTATAATCTTATAATTAGTATTGTGTGAGCCCTTTTGTACTTACTCTATTCTGGATTCCAATGAGAGCAAGAAAAAAATATACATACATAAACCTGCTTCATATAATTTTATCATATACTGACATAGCTATACTGAAATATCTTTACCACACTTTGTATATAGTAGCAATAAATTCATTCTAGTCAATTCATCACAACCTGAAACATTTTATAATCTATAGTAAAAGGAAATAAGAAAGAGAGCTCAAAACACATGTGCATACTTTCACTTTTGTATTAAATGTCAGTCCTTCATGTAATATCTTGGCCACTAACAGCACTAGTTCTCTGCGCACACCATCTTCTAGGAGGCGGCGAGGGTCAACCTGGATCACACCAACAAGAGTTGTCTCCATCATAGCAACGCCCTCTGCCAGGACAGCCACACCGTGACTTAACTCTGCCATCTGTAGGAGAGAAATATGAGAATTTAATAACATTACATTATATATTTTTTTTATTTTTTACCTAATATCCCTTGTTCTGCTGAGATTGTTTATCACTTTTTTATTTTCATTCCTATTCTAAAATACTATAAATATACTCTCAAAAAAGTTCAGGTTGTCTGGAATTTCCTCAAGGTCTTTTATAGATATTACAATCTCCCTCTCAAAAGACCATAATGCGAAAAAAAAAGAAAAATCTGTGGCTCCCTAAAATTCTGCCAACATCAATACCTGATATCTCTCCTGCAACTGTGCATAATCTCTCATCTTGTCCTTATCAAGACGGGTGGGTATTGGTTTAATCCTTTCTGTCTGAAGCTTAATAATTTTTGCAAGTAACCCAAACATGGTTTCAGGGATAATTTGAAGCACCTGGAATTATGAGATTCATCATTAAATATTTCATATTAACACTAAAGGCTTCAACATTAACACAAAGAATTGCACCTCCTCCAACATCTAGGAATGATATCTTAATCTGCTCTTTAGATTTACCTTTCTTTCCATGAATCACAAACAACTAATGAGAAAGTTTATTTATGACCTTTCCACAAAATTTAAATCAACCCTCTTAACTGTGAAAAAATAACTGTCCAGTTCAGAACACAAAACAGTCAATAAAACTTACTTTCCTGACATATGCAACAAGCTCTCCCGAATAATATGCAGATACAGAAATGAGATCTGGACTGCGTGCTTGATTGATCCGCAAAAGTGGCAGATCTAGTCCTGAAGATATCTTCAGAAAAGTGGCTCGCATTCTAGCTACATGAGATGGGTCCTTCTTGATAGCAGACTGAAAATCAACAACAGTACTAAGACTATTGTTTTACAAAAAAGGGTTTCCTTGTTCACTGCATGTTCAATCTTTATCAATCTTTCTTAAGCTACAAAAGAGAAAAACAAAAAATGTTTTCATGATTAGTATCGAAGACTCACCTGCATTACTGCTGTATACTCATCCACCAACTTCCATGCATAAGACAAGTCTGATATCAGAGACAGTGTAACCAGGTTGTCCTCAGTGATCCCAGCAACTCTCACCAATGCTTGCAAGGCACCTACCACCTCTCCAACAGCTTGGACTACACCAGCACTCGATTCCAGACCATGGAACTCTACCAGGAGAATTTTGGTATTTACATGATGAACAAGTAATCAAGTCAAATTGAAAAATGTTGACAATTGCAAGGTTGATGATGATTGTACATTTTAAGTTACCTTCCTAATGTATGTGCCCTAATGTAAGTACATGAACATGAAAAATCTTCCAGCTAATCCACTTAAGTAAAAACTAGTTACCATAAAATTCTAACTGTAGTATAACTGCCTTACTTTGCTACTCATACCTTTAACTTCTTTGAGTGCCTGTATAAGCTGTATAATCTTCCTCCCAGATGATCCTGGTTCATCCAAGCTGAGGCTCAAGATCTGTTCTCCAATGTCTTTGAACCATTTCTGAAGCCGTTCATTCTTGGCTACACGAGCAAGAGGTCTGCTCCCAGCAAATACCTCTGAGAGCTCCAATACTTGCTCATTGGCCTCTTTGCGGTATTTATCCCATCTGACTGACTATTAAGAAGAAAAAAGTCAGTACTGTTTACATGTATACATGCAAATTCAAGTCTGATAAATATACTGCCACTATAAAGCATAAAGATCAGCTCATTTTCCATTTGTGACTCTACTGTCTACTGGTAAGGTGGTGCTCCTGTGGTACTTAGTAGTGCCACACTACCAAATCAGAGCCCTCATCATGGTCTTTTGGCAGTCATTTTGGCCAAATCATTGAATAAGCTTGGACTACTTCCACAGTTAGCAGGTGTGGGAAGGAGGGTCAGAGTTTGTGTTGTGCCTGAGTAAATACTTGAAGTGAATGAAGAAGTCAAGTAAAGTGAGGAAAATTAACTGTTAGCTTCTCTTACACTGAGCTCACAAAACTTTTCACCTCCACCTGCTCACACCAGTTCATTACAAGTATAGTTGCAATGTAAGTCAGTGTTCTAGTTCTTTTTATCATTACCTTCTCTTCAAAGAGCCTCTTGTATATGGTGTTCAGTTCAAGTTCTAATGTAGCTGTGTTCAGCATCAGGTGAAACACCATCATGGGGGAGTACTGCATATCACTTACAACCTGGAAACATAAAAAGATTATGGTATATATTTGCAAGCATATCCTGAAATATTGTTTGATCTACTCTATTTCTCTTAAATATATGTTTCTCTAATATTTTACACTGCTCTTTGGCTAGTCATTTTGTCATATTTATTTTCAACAATAATATAAAACAATAACTATATTCTCCATATATATCTATACAGGTGACATTTGATTGAATGTTGTCATAGCAGTATCAATGCATATCATTAAACAACTGACTATATTCTAAGATGGACACACATAATTGCATATGAAGCTTTTGACACAACTATTATCCCAATGCCTTATCTTGAACAACCTTGTAATTGCAACAATAGTACTAGTACTTTAAGTGGTAAAGGGGTATTGATAAAGGTTTTGTGGATCAAAATAAGTTGAACAATAATATATTCCTTAAAATCATTACAAAGTCTGATATTTGATCTACTATGCAGTAATTTTCTTTGTGCAAGACTGTAGTTGCCAACAGTAATTTCAATGTGGCTGTCTCCATGATTTGCTGTAATCAGCTGATCATATGTGATGTACCATCAAATGCATATTGTATGGTTTTGCCTAGATAGTGGTATTTTTAATATATGTTTGATTGGATTTATTATTAATTCATATGACATTTACTCTGAACTGTTAACTTTTGAAAGGGCACAGTTATGTTGACTGCTGATCATTTTTACATACATTCATACCTAACAAACCTGCTGAGGAGGATCACCTAAAGTTTCATGGCATCAATGGCCTGCTGTGATCAACTATCACTTGAGAATAACCAACTATTTACTAAACTGTCCTTCTGATGATCATGGTTGAACAGGAGACTTCTTGTTGGATTGTGTCATGATGACTGGTGACACAATCATATAAGAATTCCTAAATCAACTATTATATGCACAAGAAAAATCATTACGTACTTGATCACGAACAGCTCGGCACCTCTTATTCCCTTCACCGCCTGCCTTTGCCAATGTTGCAGCGTGCAGCACTGCCCATCTTAGTGTCACATTACATTCCCTCAGAAGATTGAGGATCCTATTGTTATGATCCAGAACTCTTGCTTCACTCATGGCACCTTCAGAGAGTAGCTGGTCCGTTTGCTTTGTGAGTTTCCCGATTTTTGTACCTACTTTGGAAGCCTGTTCTTTGATATTTGAAACCTGAAATAAAATATTCATTTGATTTGTATTACAACTGCAATGAAATAAGTAAATACTCAAAGCATTATTTTTCAATAGATATTAAGATTTTCCAGTATAAAAACATACCTCTAGAGTATTATTCAGTGCTTGCTTAGCTGCTTTATAGGGTTCCCAGGAATCAATCAAGTTTGCAGTCATACCCATGTAGTAGCTGAGGACCCAATTATCAGGGAAAAATCTATCAACTATCTCCCTCATTTTAGCAGTCTGGGAGTAGAGAGTTGCTGGAGTAAAGAAAAGGCAGACATAGAGCATGGAAGACTGGTTTGCAAGTGCTGCTGAGCGATGCTCTGGGGATGGATAGGCCTGGACCTGAAAGAGAAAAGTGATCAGCATAAAAGTAAAATAACTTCTTGTGGTTCTGGTATTTGGACTAAAGAAAAATATACTGCAACACAAACAATTAAAACTCTCATTATAGCTAACCTGGTGATAAATATCATCTGATCTTAAATGACCCAAGACTAAACTCAGGTAAGTTGCTGGTATCTCGACTCTCCTGAAAGCAATAAAAAAACCCTTTAGACTCATTATAATCTTTACAATTATAATTACTAATATTTCAGAATACAGTAAGTCCCCAACTAAAGAACATAATAGGGACCGAGAGGCTGTTTGTAAGTTGATTTGTTTGTATGTTGAAAGTCGGGTCTCCATTACCTTTTTTCCCATTGTTTTAAAGTTTTGTTTATATTAAGAATACCTGTAAATAAATCCCAATAAGTACAACATACCTTATACAGTACCAGACTCTTGAACTATATTCGCGCCTGGGCAATTTGAAGTTTGCTAGCATCTTTCAAATAATTTTTTGGACTTTAGTACTTAAAAAATTTTGTTTGTATGTATTGAATGTTCATAAGTAGAATGTTCTTAAGTAGGGGACTATCTGTACATTGTAACTTGATGTTAATTCCATCCCTAAAACTCCTTACCTAAAATAATCCTCAGGATAATTATTTGGTCTCCTGCTACCTGGCAAAGTTGAAAATCCTGTAGACCTAAGCAACTTGCACACATCATCAATGTTGGTATCACTAGAGGCTTTCTGCCCGGCATAGCGATGATAGGCAACGATGATCCTTTCTCGAACTACACCCGGAAAAAGCGAGTCGACCACCAACAGCATAACTCCATAGAGGTGTAGAGCTTCGCACTGTGAAAGATGGGTTGTATAATTTATCTACCATTAGTTTCTTCTAGCTATTGGTTTATATATTCTTGAAAAGCTGTAGGATCACCAGCAAAGAAATGGATAGTAAGCATAAGAAACCTATCACTGGATACTTTATACAAACTAGGAAAATATACCAAAGTAAAACACAGCAACTAGATACAAGCTCTGGTCAGTAAGCTTCTAATGTTATTTTCCAACGTACCATAAGCTGTTTTCCGTCTTCATTAGTGAAAACATTCTCCAGAGTTCTCTGTATGTATGTCCCTTCATTAAGGTCTTGTAAAAAGCTGTTAAGGTCTGTGACATACCGATGAATACTCTCAAATGCCGCATATATTCTCTCAATAATGGAGCTGTGATTCTCACGGATTTCATCATCTATGTCAGCTAACACCTGCAATTCAGTGATAAAGATCTATGGATAACTTTTTCTGATCTCCAAAATCAAATTTCACTTGAACTTTATAATTATTGTAATATTGCATACACACATGTACATTATTGTAATATAATCATAAAACTACTTCTACATAAATTCCAGGCAATACAGATCATTACAGAATCAATGAAAATGTAAAATTGACCAGCTGTGATATAAAATGACAAATCACGGTCTTACGGGTGTATCTTCGATCTTCTTATTGAAACCTTCAGGGGCTTTGAAATATGTGAAATCCAAAACAATGTCTCCATATTTCTGTTGCTCGACTTTAGTCTCTAATCTGAAATAATAAAAAAAGAATGTGCTTTATCATAATTCTTCATTATATCAGTGTAAGAAAATTAGGTTATGGTTTCCAAACTATCTGCCATTAATCATTATATCAGTGTAAGAAAATTAGGTTATGGTTTCCAAACTATCTGCCATTAATCATTATAAAAGATCTTTTAGAATAAAATATTGCTTTAATATAATTTAGATACTGTACTTAAAATAACAATAATCTTATTACCAAAAGAATTGAAAGTTCACAACAATAACAAACGGAATTACCTGAATACTTGAGGAACATAGTCAGATAAACGCATCAACTCTGCAATAATGGAATTTGCCCTTGCCACGAGCCGGAGCAGGGTCTGCCCGCACACATTGTTCTCGGCCAGAAAATCCATCACTGTGTGTGCTTCATTATCCTACACTTTTCTGGAAAGCAAGACCAAAAATCTATATAAGTTTCAATATACTGTGCATACACACATGTACATTTACTTTTAGAAACACACAGATTAATTTACGTATACACATCATACATGCAACATACACACATGTATGTATGTATGTGTGATTGCATGTGTGAATGTACACATGCATATACATGAATGTAGTCATGCATATGCATTTGCACGTGCATAATGACATTACATATATATATATATATATATATATATATATATATATATATATATATATATATATATATATATATACTGCTGCAATGGCTCAGTGGTTAGAGCACTGGACTCCGACCCTCATGGTCCCGGGTTCAATTCCCCGTTGTGACAGTTGTAAAAAATGCCTAAGCTCTGACTGCTACCTCGAGCCTGAGAAAACGACATATCGGCTTGAGAAGTCAAACGCAGGTGTCGTAGGGGAAGTCACCGCCGTGGCACAAGCGTTAACACGCCGAACCACGGTTGATTAGGAAGGGCATTCAATCAGGCAAAGGTGACACTGCCATATAACCTCTCAATACTGAATTGAGAGAGGCCTATGTCCTGCAGTGGAATGAATGGCTGTTGAAGAAAAAAAAAAAAGAAGAAGAAGAAAAAAAAAAAAAAAAAAAAATATATATATATATATATATATCTATACCTATATATATATGTATGTGTATATATATATATGAGAAAAATTTGTACAGTTACAAAGGTTGATAATTACAGAGAGAAGCAGATATGGACACAGAGAAATGTGATAGGGATTTGGACAGACAGATAAGCAAACACACAACACTACAGACAGACATACAGTGCAGATATATGAACTATAAGGCTAGAAAAAAGAGCTGCTCTGACATGGTTCAGATCATATGACTCTCAGTTTTACTCAGATGGACTTAAAGGCTGGTATCAACGTTTACAGAAGTGTATTGACCTTACTGGAGCATATGCTGAAAAATAAACATTTAACTGAACCATTTTTTCATACTGTCCTTTTTCCACATTTCTTTTGAAACCCCCTCATCTATATATGTATATATACATATTATACATATACATTTTATATGTAAATAAATAAATATATCTATAAATATACATAATAATAATAATAATAATAATAATAACAATAATAATAATAATCTCCCATCAATTATCATCACATTATAAAATTCTATAATACAATTATGTAAATAAAAGGCACCATCATCATCATCATCATTGGGGAGCTAACGCTGGTAGGGGCGCATAGCTGCGTCCACCCTTCGCTTCCACCTGCGAGGGTCTCTCATGGCGAGCCGCCAGGCAGGGGCCCAGCCCATCTCTAGTTCCTCACAACAGGTTTGATCGATCTGCCCAAGCCACGACCTTCTCGGTCGTCCCACAGGCCTCCTCCACCCAGGGTTGTCTCGAACAGAGACAACCTGATGGGCAGGGTCATCCTGCGGAAATCGAGGCAAGTGGCCATATAGCCTGAGTTGGCGATCACGGATTGTGCAAGTAACAGGTCCTGTACCGGTCTCACAGTGTAGCTGTTGGTTGGACACATGGTCCCGCCAACTGTACCCCATGATCCGGCGCAAGGATCTGTTACAAAAGGCATCGAGACGAGATTCCAAAGCACAAGATAGCGTCCATGTTTCACTACCATATAGTAAAACTGGCAGTATCAGGGCCTTGAAAACTCGTAGCTTGGTCCTTCTGCACAGGTACCGGCATCTCCAAATACTCTAGTCGAGAGATTTCATGACCCCTGCTGCCAAGCCAATTCGTCTACTGACTTCCTGGTCTGACAGCCCAGAGTCATGAACTGCACTACCGAGGTATATAAAACTCCTTGTGACTTCGATGTTTTCACCGCAAGCACGTACCGACTGCACAGGGTCTCCTAGTAGGCCTCCAAAATCCTGGATCTTGGTCTTGGTCCAGGAGACCTCTAGCCCTAGGGGCTTCGATTCATTGCTAAATGCATCAAGAGCCACCACTAGTGTTTCCAGAGACTCAGAAAGAATGGCAACATCATCAGCAAAGTCAAGGTCTGTAACCTTGATATTGCCCAGAGTTGCTCCACAGTGACTTTGGACAGTAGCTCTACCCAGTATCCAATCCATGCAAGTGTTGAAAAGTGTTGGTGCAAGAACACAGCCTTGCCTCACGCCTGAACTAACAGGAAAGAAGCTCGACAGGCCCCCACCACACTTTACAGCACTTTCAGTGCCTTATACAGGTTTGCTATTAGCCCAACAATCCTTGTTGGAATTCCTCTCAGTCTCAGGATCTCCCAGAGTGATTCGCAATGCACTGTATGGAACGCCTTCTTGAGGTCGATGTAGGCTGCGAGCAGCCCACGTCCGAACTCATGACGGCGCTCTACAATGACTCGAAGCGCCAGGATACGGTCTATTGTGGACTTACCAGGAGTGAACCCAGATTGCTCTGGTCTTTGGTGCCTCAGGAGGTGGTCTCTGATATGTCTCAGTAAGATGTGGGCGAGTACCTTGCCTGGTACACTGAGCAGTGTAATGCCTCGGTGATTGCTGCAGTCCCACTGATCCCCTTTCCCCTTCCAGAGAGGGATGACCACACCCCTCAGCAGGTCAGGGGGAATGGTACCGGTCTGCCAGATGGCAGACAGGACTGCATGCAAGCCCCTTGCCATAGGTTCTCCACCAGCCTTTAACAATTCAGCTGGGATGCCACAGACACCTGCTGCTTTACCATTCTTCAGCTTGGAGATCGCCCCCTAGACTTCAGTCAGGGAGGGTGGATCCTTGCTGATGGGTGGGTCTGGCAGAGGAGTCACAACATTACCAGCATCCAAGTTACCTGTTGGTGGATCAACCTGATACAGCTGCTCAAAATACTCAGCCCAACGCACATGCACCCCATCAGTATCTGATATTACCTGGCCACTTGCTGAGCGGACTGCCGTCGTCTGTGAGGAGGGCTTGGAGTTCAGCTTTCTCAGAGCTTGGTAGGCAGGACGAAGGTCATTTACTAAGAAATGGCTTTCAACCTCCTCTGCAAGATTACTGATAAACTGTTCCTTATCCCTTCTCAGCAGTGACCTAGTCCTGCGCGCCAGAGAACGGTGCAAATTGTGATCCCCTGACAAGCTTCTGTGGCTTCCAGTGTCTCCTGCGAGATGGAATTCTGTCTTGCTCTTGGGCGTACACCAATGGATTCCTGAGCTGCATCAAGCATTTCACGCTTGAAGGAATCCTACATAACAACAGGGTCTGTCAAGCCCTCGAGTGCTGTAAGACGACCAGAGATAGTCTCAGCAAACCCCCGGGCACACTCATCCTCCACCGAGTGCTAACGAGGATGTGGTTGATCTCCTTGGCCACCCTACCTGTATCGCTGTACCAAGTCCAGCGATGCGGGTCAGAACGCTGATACCAGGAGCCAGAGATCCTCAATTTCTGGGACCTAGCAAAGTCACGGAAAAGGAGGCTATTCTCGCTGCCAGTATCAGCATCCCCTGTCAGGGGACCGACAGACATCTCGTAGCCAGCTCGATCAAATCCGGATACCGCATTGAAGTCGCCCAGAACAATACGAATATCTCGCCGAGGACAACTGTCTGCCACAGATGCAAGTTTGGCGTAGAACATCTCTTTCACCTCAAGTTTATATACATCCGTAGGAGCGTACACAGCAATTAGAGACATGAAGCCAAATGACAGCTTCAGTCTCAATACCATTATACGCTCATCGACTGGAGTGACCTCTACTACCGAGGGTTGAAATTGGCTGGAGATGGCTATCACTGCGGCCCGACCAGTAGTAAGTGTAGCCACCCACACTAATCGTGCCGCTGCCAGGTCTTCTCACCTCCGAGAGAGCAACCACCTCAACTCTCAGCCGTTTCAATTCCCTCAACAGTAGTGGTAACCGATCATCCTGTCACAGGGAACGGACGTTCCAAGCCCCCAGCCTGATAGCCCACCTGAGGTCTACCGTCTGGCAGTCACTCCGGGTGGGCGCCACCTCTGCCACCCCCACCGACGCCGCCCCATACAGAGGTTGGCTGGCTGCAGGTCCCCTAATCCACCTGCAGGGCTTCTGGGGGCTTTCCCCCACAAGCATCACGCCAGGCTGGCGGCCGCTGGGACCCAGATGGGATGATGGGTAACCCTCCCTCCCCGCCAGAGTCCCAGCGGTCGCCAACCCAGAGGGACCCACAGCCCGCTGTTCTTGCTGGGTGGGAGGGGCTTTAGCCCTCCCCCCAGCACCAACTTCTCTATGTTTCGTTGCCAGTAGAGTTGTCTCAGAGGGGCAGACTGGCAAGGCCTGCCCCTCCACAGCCACCCATTAACCCCGGGTGGGCACGGGGGCAGGAGTTGGTACGAAGCCAGGGCGTGTCCACACTCCGGTGGGCCATGACTCCGTACCTTTAGGGCCTCCTGCTGCTCCAAGAGCCTCCACAGTTCAGCCTAGGACCGCAAGGTGCTTAGTTTCCATGGGTGGCCACGAGGAGGCACTGCAGAAGTCTTGATGATAGAGAGGCTATCATCAAGTAAAGAATTGTGTAAAGAATTTTATAAATAATTTCACAAAAAATCCATGAATTATTAAAATATAGTTTACAGATGGATAAAAAATAAACCTAACTCAAACTCAGCAGCCGTTTCCATAGTCTGGAAACTACCAACAAACACAAATCATAAAGGTGAATTGTACACAAGAAAACAAAGATTGAAATACAGAGAAATTAACAGACTCACAAACATTAATAGTTACAGGCTCACTCTCAGCAATATTAATATCACAAAATCACAAACCTGAAAACTACAAAGAAACACAACTAATTTATGCTTCAGCAAGACAGTCAAAATGTCAGAATACAATGGGTCCCAAGCACATAGAAACTTTTTCAGAAATGAAATTGCTGACATTGCAGTCAAGAAAGCACAAGAATTAAATGTTTCCACAGCCAAAACCCAAGACACCAATAATAAAATGGTAAAAGACCTTGGGAGGAACAATTAGATAAAACTCTAATCACGAAACACCCCACAGCCATGGTATAGATCAGAAAACAGAAAATTATATATATCCTATCCAAAAATGTAGTACATGTACATTTGCCAAACCAATCACTCACTTTGAATTTCATCAACCCACTAAAATTAACCCAAACACTTAACAAATTAATCTTCCAAAGTATAATAGAAAATTCCCTAAGAATTCTGGGAGATGGCAAAGCCAAAAGATTTAAAGGGACTGAAATGAAAAAATAGGACCTCTGAATGAGACTTAAAACAACTTAAAGATTGTGTAACCATTTGGGCTCTGAAGATAAACCTAACAAAAAGTAAAATAATGTGTTCTAGACATAAAAAGATAAGACAAATACCAAATATAAAAATAAGTTACAAAATAATGGAATTCATTCATGAACATGGCATTTTTCAATTTAGATTTGATTCGGATATCCCACTGGTGGGATGCTTGGAGCATAGACCATTTCTGGTGCTCACACTTCATTCATTACTTGCTTTTGCAATGCCTCTCCATTTCACCCACATAGAGGAAGAAGCTCCAATCACAGAGGAAGGAACTCTATTCATGGAGGACAGGACTTGGTGGCCCAAGATATGTATACGTCAATGCCTGGGCGGAGAGGATTCGCTGGTCTTCAGAGTAACTCTCTCCACTGAGCTTCTGGGGGCTTCAAAGCCAATGCTGACACCATCAGGACTACAACAAGAGCCAGGCCCTGTAACAATGCCATCACCCTGTTATTGAGATTGCTGATGACAGGAGGAGGTGCCATTGGTGTTTGAGGAAGGGTCAGCAGAAGAATACCAGGAGATCCTGCCCTGACTGTACTGCAGGCCTCTGCAACTATGGGTGCTTCAAGGCTTGGCATGCAGCCCTGTGATGTCATGCACAGGAAAAAAAAAAATATTTTTTTTTAACAAAAAATCTGAGTTACCCTCACAATATCTTGGCAACTGTGTTACTGAGAGTAATAAACAGTACTATACTAAAACTTCCATACCTCTATCATCCAAAAGACTACTGTTAAAAGAAAAAAAGGGGGGGGAAAAAGAGAAAAAGAAAAAAACTGAAAAAAACTGAAAAACAGATCCATGACAAGATCCAAAGACAGAAAATTTGACACACAGTATATCCAACAAGAATGAAAACAAAAAACACCAGAAAAAATCAACACATACAAAATCTAAATTGAAGATGACCCTCTCTTTGGATGGTGCAGAAATTAAGAAGGATGCCTAGAACACTACACTACCCAAGATTCCACCCACACTGCATAAAATAATAAGAATGGTAATTTTCTAGTTTCCATAGCCACCCGATCTTGCAGTTATTATTCCATGTTTCAATTATTCTCATTGTAGTAGTGTGAATCTCTCGGTTATTTTCCATCAAAAATTATATAAATTAAAGTATTTGTAAATATTTACAAAGTGACCTCTCCTGTAACTCCCTATTGCACCAGCTACTCCTGGGAAATACACAAATATTGCAGTATGGACCTAAAACTTCCTAACCCAGAGACTTCACTCCCTGACCTCTACCCTTTCGCCATATTTCCCTATCAAAGGCTCTCTCCCTGAACCCCATCTAATCACCGTGGACTTACTCTTCGTACGTTTGTTACAACCCAATTTATTTATTTCTGAGGTTATTTTTTGCCTGTGCAGATTACTTCAAATAACTTTATTATTTTTATTTTTACAGATGTACACAGAAGATGAGTTTCTGAGGTTTATTTGCTCTATCATGTACATATATTATTTTCCTTGTAACAGGCGGCTCTTTGAAACTTAACCATTACCTTATTTTCTGTCATTCTGTCCGTTACAGGCAAAGTTACCTAGTACCACATAGCTGCATGAAGCCAAAACTATACTAAAATAATAAAGATTCAAAACCCAACAGCAAATCTGATTGCAGGTGCAAATTAATCACCAACTAAATAATTCATTTTGAGACACACAATAATCTTCTTAAGAACGAAAATAAATGACATCATATTACATAACAAAAGAGCAATTGAGGAAATAAATGAGGCAAATGAAATAAAAGAGAGGATGAGAGACTTGACAAGATAACCTGTCTAAAGCCTTATGATAGAAGGAAGGAAGATTTTGGTTCGAGAAATGATACAGACCAATGTATTCATAAAAATGGTTGAAAATTTTCCATATATAACAATCAGCATTACAATAAAAAAAAATGTATGGAATGGTGACATTGACGAAAATTGACATTCTTCACCTATGGCAAAAGGTTTGCAAATTTATATTAAAGGAGATATGCAATTAGATAGAGCATGTGTATAAAAAAAGAAAAATTACCAAATGTTTCTTCTAATACCTAAGATCTAGGAAAAATATATACTTTGCCCAAAGAAATTAATACGAATCCTTTATATGCAATCATTAATGTTCTCACGAAAAGAATATTTCACATCAGAAATTATAATTTGCTCTTCAAACAACTTTACGGAACACAAATGTGTTTCTTAATTGCATAAGCACATATAGTAAGAGAAATGACCAAATACCAAAAATAATAACAACTCTCAAATTGCCCCACAATAAACCCGCCGACTTACAGAAAGTACCAATCTGTCACAAATATAACCACGAGATTTCGCCCCAAAGTGTCTCCAAAGGTTAAAGTTCGCGTCAAAACCTTAAATTCAAAACGAAATGAACTCACCGGAGACAAAAATCACCACCACTTGTTTCCTCCCTTCGAGCCTCCCTCTGCTCGTGGGTCCGCCCCTTACCTCCCCCTGCCCCCCCTCTTTCCTCCCCCTACCCTCCCTGCCCTGCCTCCCTCCCTCCCTCCCCTCCGGCCTCTCCCTTTCCACGCCCCCTCCTCCCTCCCCTCCGGCCTCTCCCTTATCCAGCCCCCCTCCACCCTCCCCAATACTCACCTCCCCATTACCCTCCCCTTCCCCCTCCTCTCCTGTCTCCTCCCCCTCCCTCCCCCCCATCGCCCCTCCTGCTAGGTCAGCTGATTGTCAAAATAAACGTTGAATTGTATTTCACGTTGTCTGATTTATTACGTCTGTTTGGTACTGGCCGAGATAAAAAAAAAAAAAAAAATATGCGAAGCATACACGAATTGCTTGGTCGATCTTTTCTGTATTTTTTTTTCTTTTCTTTTCTTTTCTTATGATTTGTGAGTGGCATTCGTGTTTGCATTTTGCAATGACATTTCGAAAAAAATACACCTTGATTAATTATGTTGATTTTAACCTATTACTAAATAGATAATAAGTGATATTACTCTCTAAAATAAATTACATTTTTTGAAAATGTATCAACGAATGCTATATTGTTTACCTCGACCTATCAAGATGGGGACGTCTGGCTACATATTTATCCTCACTTTTCTCTCCTTCTGTGCTGTTTTTACTGAGGTATGGAGTGTCGTCCTTTTAGTTGCCACCGTTTTCCTTTCGTTAGGCAGCTGGGATGATTTCTACTTGGGTTATTATACGTGAATTAAAGTTGTATCACGTGATTGAATAGCTTCCTTTCACAAGGATTTGTTTTGTGTCTTCCTGTTATTTATATAAAATACTTTATTTGTATTTTTTTTATGCCATCCTTAGTTCATATTATAAAGACTAAGCTCATTTGAAGGTAAAGGAAGTTGTTAGGGCTAGAGTAAATATATTACTCTGTTTAAATGATCAAGAATCCTGCCAGTCAACTTTTTTTGTCTTTGATTTCAACATTTAGTTACCAATATTTTTCCTCTTTTCTCATACAGTATGTCACAGGAAAAGAATCCCCAATTTTCAAAAAATGCTTGAGTATTAACAAAAAGAAAATTCTATAAGCTGGTCTTCAGAAAATAAGAGACCCATTTATTAGACCTATTTCACACAGTAAATAGTTTGATTAATTTCTTAAATTGGTTTGGACTCCTGTTGGTCTGCTTATCAAATTCAGTCTTAATAGTAATGGAAACAATAAACTCACAAGGCACATGACTCCAGACTTGTCTGGGCTCTGTCTTGTAGTCAGATATGGTTCAGCTTTTGCATTCCTTGCATGGTTAGTAATACCATGCAAGTAGCAATACTTTATGAATATTACAAAGTTTAACTCCACTATTGCTTCAGTATACATTCTGGTCTTATATTGTCAATATTGATGCATTTTCAGTGTGATTACTAAAAATGCATAAAAGACATTTTGACGGAATTCATCAATACTAAATACAATGGATTTTAACCCATTCATGCCGGGTGTCACATTTACTTGTTTAATTGTTTTTACACATAGATGGCTACACTTGTACTTATACTGCCTGCCTCGCCTGTTTACCCTTTTCTTTAATTTATGAAAATATTTTACGTTTTCTTATTTTGCTGTTACCAATGTTTATAACATTATAGTAATGATAATGTTTATAATAAAAATAACCATCGATATTCATAGCACTAGTAAAAATACATTTTCCCGCCAATTCAAGTAAAGGTGAAATCAGGTAAGGCAGAGCCATCTAGTGTAGAGACATTTCATAAAAGGATATAAACAATGAGCACAGTATTTTCCCCCTTTTTTGTTCATTTTTACCTGTCGCAAATGGGTTAAGTTGCAGATATATTCTAGAAAATTCCCACTGGTTTCATGCAGAAACTTCAAGGGAAGGGAAAGAATTCCATGCATGATACCATAAACATTTTCAGTTTGCAAATGTATCTTTACAGAAGAGAAAGTATATTATTTCCATTCTGATTTTTGAAGTGGAAGAACATATATAGATTACATATTGATAATTTAATATAACATTTATTTTTACATTTTCAGTGTCAAGTCATTTTTACTATAAAACCCAAGTTCTGCAAAGGCATTGCCCAACAAACTAATATATATATATATATATATATATATATATATATATATATATATATATATATATATATATATATATATATATATATATATATATATATATATATCAGTACTTGAATTGAAACCTCTCATACCTATTTCTTATCTATTACATGAATTTCAGGCACAGTATGAGGATAAGAGATGTATCTGTATATGCCCTGATCCTTCTGTCATAAATGGTACCAAGAGTAACCGCATGGTCTACAAGGAACCTGTCGCCCCAAGCAAATGGTAAGCAGTATAAAGAGTTGGTGGTCATTGAATCAAAAAACAAATTCATGTTTCAGGATCTCCTTGTCCTTGCCTTTTTTTTTTTTTTTTTTGCTTTGTGATTATGGTCTGCAGTAGCAATATATTTAAAAGTAATTTGTAAATTATTAATATTATGGGTGTATGTTGCCTTCATATTGCATTTACATTTGTACATCAGTAGAACCATGATATACATAATTTTTCAATAAAAAAAATGTAGTGCGGAGTGAAGTTCCAGATATACTTTATGATAGCAAATATTAAACTGACCCTTTCAGTGACTGTGACAATGTTGTATTGCCAAGAGTAGCAGACGATATCAAAGGCCGTGAGCAAGAATTTTGTCCACGTTGTGAGTGCAAGTATGAGAGCCGTAACAGTAATACAATCAAGGTAATTTCACATTTGTTTATAGAGAATTTGACAATATAATGGAATATATTTTCTTGGAATATTGTAGTTTTAATTTATTTATGTGTTAATTTGATGTTATATATGTCAGTGTACCTCTCTTTGTTTCATTCCATTAATTTTCATTAGTATTTACAGTGGTTGTTGAAAATACTGAGAGCTACCCTCATTATTGGAGGCAAATGTACTCTCACTGTTTTTATTGCACCAAAATTGCTGCAAGCCAATTTGGCACCACTCAGTGGTATCTGGCGACTTAGGAATCCTCGCTGAGTGTGTGAAGGAGGCTGGATAGCATGTCAGCACCTGTCTCTGTATGCTTTTGGGAGGATCATGCACCCGCTCATTGTTTTTCTTTTTATCATATTTTACTCTCTTCTTTGTTGCCACTCCAGACTCAAACCAGCAGAAAAGATGCATTCCACACAACTGACTGATGGTGTTGTTGTTTTTTTAAAACAGGTCCCAGTATTTTCAGTGCCATTATTACACTGATGGTCATTTTAATTCATTTTTTCTCTCCTTTTCTCTCCATTAGGTTGTAGTAATCCTTGTGATCTGGATCATCTCCTTGTTGGTCGTGTACATGGCCTTCCTCCATTGCCTGGACCCACTGCTCAATAAGAGAAGGTCACAACCCTCTTACCAGGAACACACCAATGAGGACGATGAGGCAGGCACTGTTGGAGGTGCCCCAGGCATGGCACAGCCACTTCGTGTCAGACCCAATGTCCTCGGTCGTGTGGGACACCAACAAGACAAATGGAAACGGCAGGTTCAAGAACAGCGTAGAAACATCTACGATAGACACACCATGCTGAATTAGTTGGTGTTAGCAGTTTTGGGAACCTAAAATGTCCTGTGCTCATTTTTTTTCTCTTTCTTTTATCTTTCTTTCTTTTTCTTTTTACTTTTTATCATGTACATGGATATTACCAAATTGTATGTATTAGGTGATTATGATAAAGATCAGGGAATATACTTTCTATTTGTTTATACACATACATTCTAAGATGTAATTTTTTTTTTTTTTTTAGCATTTTATCTTTCTGCATCTCTCTCCTCCTATCAAGCCACTCTTTTCCTCTCATCTTCTCACTCCTCATCTCTGTTAAGCTGATTGATTTTGATTAAATGATATGTATGGGCTTGATATGTAGTTTTTGTATTATATTATATGTATATTGGCAAGCATAGTTCCATATCCTTGGTAAATAATATATCAGAATATGATATGAAAGCAATCACATAATAAAAGATTTAGCAGTTGTATGTCATATATTTAAAAACATACACTTATTTATTACATAAATTCACTGCTAAGTCACAGCAAAAATTGTTGATCCATTCACTATCAGATATTTTATTTGGAAATTGTGGTGAGAATTTTCTGCAGAACTGAAATTTATGGATGTTTCCTTAAGAAATGCTTATATTTTGCAGAAAGTTTGTAATGCAAAGTCTAGGGTAGTACAGGAATGAGAAGGGACTAAGGTAATAAGTCCCAAGTAAACTGATTTGTGTATTTCAAAAGTGGCCTGGGCAGACATTTTTGCATATGTATAGCATGGTAGTGAAAGGCTCAACAGAAATAATGTATAAATGTTGTGTGAAATATGGCATATAGCTTCCTTGTACAACAGAAGTGAGTGTAGTTTATTTAGTGCATTCTG